TACTCTAGCCACACAGCCCAAGCTTTCCTCTCCCTCCCTAGGATCTTTTAACTTCCTCAGTGGAGATGGGGCGGGCTTGGCACCTACAGCTCGACCTGCCACAAAGAGCTGGTGTGCTTAGACTGACTGTGCCTGGATCCTCCCAAATAATGGGCCCTTACTGGTTGTGGGGGAGGTTGGGAAAAGGGTACCCTTGGTGCTCCTGATTATCCCAGACCAGAAACTAGTTCCTACAACCCCTGGGCAGGGTCCTCCTCCACAGTACAACATCCCCATGTCAGAAGGGAAAAGTGTACAGGTGCTGGTACTGGCCTGGCACACCTATGGGTGCTGTAGGCTGCTGGTATGACCAGCAGGTGGCGCCAAAGGGGAGTTGCCTAAATAGGGTTGGGGGGGGCGGGGCTCCATGGTGGCTGGGGGTAGATTCCAGAACTGCCAGGCCACCCTGGGTTCTTAGAGGCATGAATGGACGGAGAGGTTGCCAGTCCCAGCCATCCCAGAGGGCTTGGCAGGCAGACTGCATTCTCCCACAGGTGACATCATCTTCCTGACCTGGGATCTAGGAAAGTTGACTCCTTAAAGGACAGACAGCTTGCTAAGGCTTTGGGGATCCCATTGTGATCAGGGCAACTTTGGGCTCATCTCTGACTCCGTTTCCTCTCCACTTTACAGATGTGCATAGTCTCTAGTAATTATCTTCCAGATGTCAGGGGTACACTTCCCTCCACCAGTAAGCTCCCTCGTAGCCCAGGCTTGAGATAAAGAAAGAATTTAAATGCCTAGACATGTCCATTTTATTGGTCAGTTGTGAGTGAGTAAGAGCTAAGGCACAATTTGGTTGCCTCCAGCAGTCTGAGGGGCGGGAGGACCCTGAATATGTAAACCATCCTGGGGGCTGAGCCCACTAGCTGCCTTTCGCGCCTGGGGCTGACCATCAGACCCTAGCCCCAGCAGCCCAAAGGCTGTGTTGAAGAGGTTGATGGGAGAGGAGCCATCAGTGATCAAGGTGGATTTCAGACCAAGGGACTGGAGCAGTTTGACCTGGAGGTGAAGAGGAGGAGGGGGAAGGAAAGAAGACAGGGTTAGAAGTTGGTCACTTCTTGCACTTCCAAGTGACCCTCCTGAAACCAACTGATTTGAAGTGTCAGCTCCCCTTCATCCCATCACCCGGCCAGCCTTCCTTGGAAGCATCGGTCACAGACTGACACCCCAGGTATTCACTGTCTCCCCCAAGAGTTCCAGCTCTCTGCTGAGTCTAATACAGTGCCTGATGTTGACACACATGACACTGTGCTCAAGTGACAAATGATAAAAGGACGTCTGCTCACTCCCTCTCCCTGACATTCTAGATGTCATTTCTCTTCTGCCTTCTTAGTTCCAAGGCTGGTCCCAAGCAAACACGCCTCACCAACCTCCCCTAACCCTCACCTGCATCTCTGGCCCGGCCACAGCCAGGTCCCTGATGGTGCTGGGGCCCAGGGCCTCTGTCATCTGCTTGAACTTCTTTGCCTCCACCTCAGCCAGTTGCTGGGCCTTGCTCACTTCCAGCTCCAGCTGAGCCCGGGCATAGACCAGTTCCAGCTCTCGTACTTTCTGGACCCGCTGGAGCTCAGCCTCCTGCAAGGGAAGAAACGTGGCTGGTTTAAGATCATGTGGTCCCTGGGAACTGTCCAGAAAGTCACCCTAGCCAGCGAGCCTGAAGGAACTGAGGCAGAGGGAACACCGCTCTAATCTTTTAGTCAGCAGGGTGTGAATCCTCGCTATGCCACTGCTTAGCTAGTGACGCACAGGCGCTCCTTAATCTGAGCATCAGTGCAGTGGTGCTCATGCCTGTGATCCCAGCTACTTAGGAGGCTGACACAGGAGGATTGCCAGTTTGAGGCCAACCGGGGCCACATAACAAAATCCTGTATGAAAATAAAAAAGGGCTGGGATGTAGCTCAGTGGTAAAACACCCCTGGGTTCAATCTCTGGTACCACCAAAAAAAAAAAAAGATAAGACTTACCTCAATGGGATTTCAAGCACAAAATAAGAACATGAATGTAAAGCACATGCTTCACATACTTGGCACAAAGGTGCCAGTGCTTGAGTCCTAATCTGTAAAATGGGTATAATAATCTTTACTTTCAAGGAATGGATTAAATGCATTGCTATAGGGCAAAGGTCTTTGTAAAACACAAAGTACTTGAAGAGGGCTTTATATTAGGGTGCTTGGTATCCTGCTTGGCTTCAGGGACCATAATGAATGGGTCTCTTCCAGGTTCCAAGGCCACACCCTTTCACAAGCAGTCCCCAACTCACCGTCTCAATGGCCAAAGCCTGTGCCTTCAGCTTGGCCTGCAGCACGGAGCCTTCACCCTCAATCCGCGCAGCCTCTGCACGGGACTCGGCTTCGGCCTTGGCAGTCCCGGTGCTCTTTACCGCCGTGCTGGAGGGGGAGGCAGAGTCCCATAAGACTCAAAAGAAAGCCCTGACCACTTGGGGCCTTGATTTAGGCCATGCAACATGCAACATGTCTCACACACACCCTGGTGCCCCCACCCACCATTTCCCAAGACCATCCTCCTCTGGTTCTCCACCCACCTCAAAGCTTCAAGCTCCAGGAGTTCTTTGCGAGCTTTTTCAGCTTCTGATTGGTCCAAGATCTTCTGCCTCTCTAGACGGCCTCGGGCTTCTTGTTCTAGTCTCTGGGCCTCGTGCCTGGATGAGATCAGGGACAGGCTGAGATGCTGGCATGGGGCCACAGCTGGATAGGACTGCCAAGGGCAGAGACTGCCAAGCCTTAGGGAGCCAGGACAGACCCTGAACTCAGAGGGCACTGGACACGCACCTCCACTCAAAACAGCGTGCACGCTGTTCGCATCCCCAGGGTGGCTCTAGACCTGGGGAAGGCAGCATGCTCAGGGCCCCTGCTTCACCCAATATCCCCTCCAGTGGTAAAAACAAGTAAGCAAGGGCGATTTCAGATAGAAACAAGCACCTTGGAGATGGTAAAATGGGTGTCTAGGCAAAGAGGGTGCTACTGCAGACATAGGAGAAAGAAAAGGAGGCGACCTTCAGACTGAGATCAAGAGGAGGAGCCTGGTTTGAAAATGCTCTGGAGGAAGCGCTTTCTAGGCAGTGGAACAGGCTGTGCAAAAGGCTGTTGGGCTGGGCGCAGTGGCACACGGCTGTAATCTCAACTGCTCAGGAGGCTGAGGCAGGAGGATCTCGAGTAAAAAACAGCCTCAGCACTGGCGAGGTGCTAAGCAACTCAGGAAGACCCTGTCTCAAAACAAAATCAAAACAGGGCTGGGATGTGGCTCAGTGGTCGAGTGCCTGGGAGTTCAGTCCATAGCACACCTCCCCCAAATAAAAGGTGGGGAAAAGCTGCATATGTGGGGACAAGAAGGAAGTCAGTGAGGCTGGAACATTTCCGTCCCCTAGGGAGGCAGGTTGGGAGTTGGGATGCAGGGAGGCCAGACTTGGAAGCCCTTAGAAAGGAATTCATTTGCGATGCCAGATGGAACCCAGGGCCTCATGCACGCTAGGCAAGCACTCTACTGCTAATCCGTACCCCCTGCGCCAGTAGAAAGGTGGGAAGCTAAGGGAGTACACGTGACACCTTAGTCACATTTTTAAGTGGGTCACGTTATCCACAGTGTAAAGAGGTCCTCGAGGACAAGGATGCAGCAGGTGGACATAATGGACTCCATGCTACTCACGCCCTGGGAGTATAAGATGGAGACCCTGGAGAGGCATTCTAGGCAGCCGAGCCCCAGGTGTCACTCACTTGGCAGCCGCCTCCTGGGAGTTGGTGGTGATCTCAATGGCCAGCTGGACACTGCGTTGCAGGGCGTCCCGGGTCCTCTGGTCCACAGGCTCCACCGACTGCACATCCACACTGCTGACTACCAGCCCATTCTGGGGGAAGACGGTCTGGTCCCTGGGCTTGGGCAGGCTCATGCCATCAGAGCCCTTGACTTCTGAGGTCTCAAAGCCAAAGACGGCTGTGCGAATGATGCGAGCCGAGTTCTTATGGAAGTCATCGAAGGTGACAGAGGCCACAGTTCCTCGCACCTGGGAGGCGATGGCCTTACAGGCATCCCCCACAAAGTCAGGCACCGAGAAGAGCTTGGCTGCCTCCTGAGGATCATTCCGGTCACTCAATTTAAAGTGCCTGTGGACAAAGAGGCCCAGAAGAGAAAGCTGTTTTCTTTTCTTTTTAAAAGAACAGTTTTTTGTTGTTGTTGTTTTTTTAAATTTATTTGTTTTTTTAAGTTTTCGGCGGATACAACATCTTTGTATGTGGTGCTGAGGATCGAACCCTGGTCACAGGCATGCCAGGCGAGCGCACTACCGCTTGAGCCACATCTCCAGCCCTGAGAAAGCCGTTTTCTTAACCAGGCACAGTGACACAAGCCGGTAATCTCAGTGGCTCAGGAGGCTGAGACAGGAGGATTGCACATTCAAAGCCAGCCTCAGCAACTTAGCAAGGCCCTAAGCAACTCAGCAAGAGCCTGTGTCTAAATGTCCAAATAAAAAAAAAAAAGGGCTGGAGATGTGGCACAGTCCCCGCACCCCCCCCCCCCCCCAAAAAAAAAAAAGGAAAGACTTTCTCTGAGTACAATTTCAACACTCACCCTCTATAACTGGGCAGGGCCCCTTACAATAGATAATGCTAACATGTACCCAGTTAGGTCCCAAGGAATGTACCATGTTTCCATTTAATCTTCTCAGGTACCCTGGTAAGCGGGGATAAACATTCTCCCCATTTTACAGAGGTTAACTCACTCGCCCAAGATCATATAATGTGTGGCAGGAAGGAATTCTGAATCCAGGCAATCTGTCTCTTAATGATTATGCTACAGTACCCTTGAATATGCCAGAACCATCCACCTCACATGGTACTGGCTACTCTCAGCCAAGAAATGAGAAACACACACTTGGGAGTTGGTGAGCATTAGTTCTGCAAGTAACTTATCTCACCCTAATTCTTTTTTTTTTTTTTAATATTTATTTATTTTTTTAGTTTTCAGTGGACACAACGTCTTTGTTTGTATGTGGTGCTGAGGATTGAACCCGGGCCGCACGCATGCCAGGCAAGCGTGCTACCGCTTGAGCCACATCCCCAACTCTCACCCTAATTCTAAGGGCTGCCATTGGAACTCTCATCATATACAGGGACTGTTCTAATTCTCTCAGCACCCTGTCAACAACCCTGTGATGTAGGTGATGCTATTACAGATGGGAAAGCTGAGGAGAACACCAAGTGGTTTGCACAGGTCCATAGCTAGGGAGAAGCAGAGCTAGGCTGTGGTTTCAGAACAGGTGCTTTGGCCACATGGTCTGCCCACTCCTGCCTGCTGTATCCCATTGATCTTTTAATAACCTTTCACTTGTGTTGTGTTAAATGCATGTTGGGAGTTTCCCTGGGGTAGTGTTCAGCTACTGGTTCCCCAAGTCCCAGAATGTGAGTGAGCCCACAACTTCCCTGGATTTACTAATGCCTGGCTTCCCTCTGCACCAGGCATGGAGTCAGGCATTCTGCCCTCATTAGGAGGCATCTCTCTTTCTCAGGGTTCCCCAGGACTGCACCCAGCAGACCCTCACCCAAGACTCCCAGCCCTCACCAGTTGTAGGCGAGCTGCAGCTGCAGTCTGGCATGATCCGCTGTTTCTATGGTGATGACATCTGTAAAGAAGTCAGGTCCCAGCAGCAGACAGAGGGCTCGGCGGGCATGGGGACGTTTGGGCCGCCCCGCCGACAGGGACAACACTGTGAACTGCTCCTCAGGACCCAGGGACACCAGCTCTGGCCCAAAGACCACCCTGAAGGGAGAGCCAGAAGTCAGGTGGGGGGAGAGCCTCCCCTACCACCCCGCAGGCTGGGGCCAGCCGCTCACCGGGCTCTCTTCTCTCTGTAGTCATACACCTGCACGGCTGCGTTGTGAGGGACGCGGTAGCTGACCACACGCGTCTTGTTCCGGGGAGCTGAGGGATGAAGGGTCTTAGCTGTGTCCTCCTTGCCCCTGTCTGCCAGAGGGTCATGCCTCTTGTTCAACAGCTCCTCCACCCCAGGGGGCAGCTCCTTCTCCCACAGAACTTCATCCTGTGTCAGCATGTAGGTGCTTCCGATCACAGCACGTACCTTGAGAGGTGGGGACAAGCAGAGGTCTTTTCAGTGAGGGTTAGAGGGACACCCCTGTCGTCTTGAGCAAAGCTGATCTATCCTGGAGCAGCACAGGGGGTCAGCATGGTCCATACAGCAAAGCTTCATCTGGGCAAGCTACTCGAGCCTTTGCTTTGGGTTCTTCATCTGTAAATGGACATGACAGTGGCCACCTTGTGGGGTCAAGGATCTAACTGCTTCATGTGTCCAGTTCAAACAACAACACTTGGCATACAGCAAGTACTTAATATTATTATTCCTGGGATGCTTAGAGGGCATCACAGAGAGATGCAATGCTAGGAAGTACCTCCTCAGATTCTAATGTGTATTTCTAGGTTGGATTCTTAGAAAAAGAGGTTGGAGATGTGGTCCACAGTCAAACCAAGGTTGAAAGTTTTAGGTGAAGCAGCAAAAAGGAAATCTTTCACTAGCATATGGGCATGGGGGAGGAGGGTATTATTGCTCCCAGGTCACACTCCAAGCTAGGACCAGATTTGCAGTGGGGCAGAATCCCCATCCCAGTACCAGGCTCATCCCCGCAGTTTGAGGTTTTGGGTTTTTTTTTTTTTTTTTTGCTATCAGAGATTGAACCCAGGGAGCTCTTTACCCCTAAGCCACATCTCCAGCCCTTTTTAATTTTTGAGACAGGGTCTGACTAAGTTGCTTATAGTCTTGCTAAGTTACTGAGGCTGCCCTCAAACTTGTGATTCTCCTGCCTCAGCCTCCCAAGTTGCTGGGATTACGGGCATGTGCCACCATGCCCGGCTTCAGTTGCAGTTTTGAAGTAAGATATTTTAGACAAAGAAATGGCAAATATTCCATGGAATGCCCTCGAGTCCACCAGCAGCCCACACAGATGCTACTATAGATATTGTGGCGTCCCCTCCCCCATGCCCACCACGCCTCTCTCCAGCAGCATCAGATGCTTGCTCAGAGGAAGTCACCACCATGGTCACATAGCAGTGACAGCCGCCCATCCCTCAGCAGTTACCCTTCCAGTCTTGACGTCCTGCACATAGATGCCCTCATTCTCGTCCAGAGGGATGGCCTGCCGCTCCTCCACCACCTCCACCTTGGCAGATGGCACATACTCCAGGGGCCCTCGGATGAGCCAGCGGTCCCCTGCCTGGTGGGAGACCTTCTCCTCCTCCTCCCCCTCCTCCCCCTCCTCCAGGGACTGCAGAGCCCTCAGCAGCAGCCCCTGCTGCTCCGACAGCACATACACATCTTGAATGCCTCGCTCCAGCCTCTCCCCTGGCTGCAGGAAAAAAGACTTCTCTCCCTGGTGGCGAGACAGGTGAGGAGAGGGTTAGGAGCAGTTGCCACCCAGGGATACAGGTACCTCCAGTGGCACCTCCCCAGCCCTTTGCTATCCTGGGCTTTTGCTGAGTACAGGAGCCCCAAAGCATGTCCCACCCCCACATTATAATACTGTGATGCACTATCTGGACTGTGAGGCTCTTAAGGCTATAGAATCTCACTTAGTCAAACATGTCTCTGAAAGATTCTGTGAACTGTCACACCTGGATCATTACAAGTTAAACTTTTTTTTTATAGCAGGGATTGCACCCTGGGGTGCTTCATCACTGAGCCACATGCCCAGCCCTTCTTACTTACTTGTTTTGTTTATGTGGTGCTGAGGATCAAACCCAGTGCTTCACATGTGTGAAGTGAGCACTCTACCACTGAGCCACAACTCCAGCCCCCTTTTTATATATATTTTTTTTAATTTTAAGACAAAGTCTTGCTAAGTTGGTGAGACTGACCTCAAACTTGGAATTCTGTTTCAGCTTTCAGAACTGCTGGGATTACAGGCATGCACCACGACCTCACCCAGCTCCAAGTTAAACTGTTTAGAGTTAACCTATTCACAAGAGTTACAAAGCTGGATATGGTGGTGCATGCCTGTAATCTCAGCAATTCAGGAGGCTGAAGCAGGAGGATCACAAATTTCAGGCTAGCCTGGGGCCATTTAAGCAAGATCTTGTCTCAAAATAACAACTAAAAAGGGCTGGAGATAATAGTTCAGGGGTAGAGCGCCCCTGAGTTCAATCCCCAATACCAAAATAATAGATAAATAAAAATAAATAAAATAATGCAATATTCTGGGAACATGGCGGCCTCCTCTGTTTACGCGTTGTCTGGGCTGCATTTACAAGACAGCAGCTGAACCTTTGGGCTTCAATAGCAACCCTGTGCTATAGGCAGAAACTACCTCCTGCACAGCCCTTTAGAGGAAGTGTGCGGTCCCTGGAATCCCCACATAAAGTTCATGGAGCAGGGGAGAAGGGTAAACTGGGATTTGTTTTACACAAGATGACCAAGGTTCCAGAACACAGAAGAGACAGGGTTTCAGGGTCTTCGGGCATGGGGTGGGGGGCAGGATGCAGAACAGGAAGCACGTCCCTGAGGTTCCCTGGAGGCTGCCCGGGTTTCAAATGGGAAGGGTCCTAGGCACACAGAACTAAGTGTGCAAAGGCACCGAGGGTGTTTCTAGATTGTGGAATGAGTGGAAGTCAGAAGCCTCCTGTCACTCAAGAGCACTTACCCTCATAGGACAGGCTCTGGGGAAAAGGAGGAACTCACCTTGATGACCCGCTTTTGTCCCAGCTGGTTCTTGCCATCTGGTCCGACGGGGTCAAGGACCACACAGTAGTTTTGGGGGCCCAGTGTGGTGATGGGCACGACTCCTAGTACTTCCTCATGAACATCGGGCACGTGAGCTGCGGTGTCCTGGACTGTCACCAGCCACTCCTCCCCAGTGCGGCGGGTCACTCCACGCAAGTCCTGGAAGTTCTGCCGAGCCCGGAGGTGCAGGGCTGTCTGCAGAAGGAGACGCTGGGTGTTCAGTAAGTCTTCCTCCAACTTCCTCCTACCACTTCCTTGGGGGATTCTGGGAACACCACTGGCCACTAACTCTGCTCCCAGGTCTGAGTGACTTTTTAACCCTTCCAGATAGCCAAGATAGTCCTCAGTTGATGTGACCTCTGGGGGTTTTATAGTGACCCTAGTAATGTCTTCCTTTCACTCTCACATTGTCTGCTGCTATTCTCTGCCACTAGGAGCATTCCCTAGCCCAGGGTCCCTTTTCTCATCCCCAGGCCACAAACCTTTTCCGTAAGGATTACAGCATCCACCAAATCCAGAACCTCCTCGAACACTGCTGGGAGATACGCACCCACAGAGCGGACCAGCCATTCTTCTCCTGGTCAAGGGCAGGAGGTCAAGGTCAGAAGTTATGCAGCCTCCCCCAGATGTCTTTTCCACAGCTTAGATAACAGGACAACAGGACTTCAAGGGTGAAGAGAAGTCACTGCCCCCAGGTTCAAAGGCCTGACAGGAGCCCTTGGACTCATTCCTTTCTCCCCCCAGAATTAAAGAAAAAAAAAAAAAACTTCTAGAATGCTCAAGGAGTTGCTACGCGAACACTCTGCTATTCCTTCTGTATGCCCCAAAGACTAAGTTTTTCCCTCCCCTAAAATGGGCAGGAAAAGTGCCTCTATTAGCCAGGCATGGAGGTGCACGCCTGTAATCCCAGCAGCTCAGGAGGCTAAAATAGGAGGATCAGGAGTTCAAAGCCAGCCTCAGCAAAAGCAAGTCACTACTGGGCTGGGGATGTGGCTCAAGTGGTAGCGCGCTCATCTGGCATGTGTGCAGCCCGGGTTTGATCCTCAGCACCACATACAAACAAAGATGTGTCCGCTGAAAACTAAAAAAATAAATATTAAAAAAATTTCCCTCTCTCCTCTTTCTCTCAACCTTAAAACAAATGAAATAAAACAAAATTTTAAAAAAACAAGACACTAAGCAACTCAGTGAGACCCTGTCTCTAAAATACAAAATATAGCTGGGGGTGTGGCTCAGTGGTGGAGTAACCCTGAGTTCAATCCTTGGTACCCTGGTGCCTCTAGTAGAGTTGTGGGTATCCTTTTGTTTCCTGGAGCAGCAAGGACGCCCAAGCCTCAGCCTTGCCCCATCTGGTCACATATCCTGGGCAAGTCACCGGATCTCTGTGCCTCAGCCTTGCCATATGGAAGACAGGAAAGTCACATCAAGGTTGTTGGTGGACTCAATAAGCTACAATTTGTAAAGCATTTTGATCCACATCCAGCAATGCACTTGGCTGCATTTGTTCACTGTATTTGAACCTCTGCATTGTTGATCCAGAATCAGATAAGATCTGGCCACTGCCCACAGCTCATGGTGAAGGGTGGGAGAGGGAAAGGCCACGCCCAGGTGCTCATGATCACAGGATCAGGGCTGGGGCAGAGCCAGCGCTGGACAGCCCTCCACAGTTCAAGAAATACCGAGGGCTAGGGATGTGGCTCAAGTGGTAACGCACTCGCATGCGTGTGGCGCTGGGTTCGATCCTCAGCACCACATAATAAAAAATAAAGACGTTGTGTCCACTGAAAACTGAAAAATAAATATTAAAAAAATTCTCTTAAAAAAAAACCCCACGAAATTCTAGAGTTTTCTCGAAGTGAACTCATTTACTATGCCTAACTATAATGCTCTATTATGTGCACACAAGGCAAGCACTCTACCAACTGAGCTGTAGCCCAGCCCTAAAAAATGAAAAGAGAAACCAGAGAAGCACTGCCCTCTGGCTACAAGTGGCTTTCCCTGCTTCCCCTGCAGGCAAGGTCCCTCCTGCCCACCCACCATCAGTGTCCCTTGGGGTCCCCACCTGTCACCCTCTCTTTGCCATCCCGGTCCAAGCACTCCTTGCGGGCCCTCAGCCTCAGTGCCTGATTCTGTCTGATGACAGTAGCCTGAATGATCTCCACAACCTCCACCTCCTTCCGGGGGATGTACGTGCCTGGGAAAGGGGAGATGGAACAGAAGCTGAGGATAGAAGAGGTCAGGGCGATGGTGGGAAGGCAAAGACCCTGACCCCAACCAAAGGCCCCGACCTCTCCCAATGGAGAGTTAACTCACCCGGTCCCTCAAATAGCCATTCGTCTCCTGCTACTATCTTGTTTCCATCCTTATCCTCAAAGTCCAGCAGCGCCTTAAGATGCAGGGCAGTGTTGGGCAGGACCACTTGCAGTGGTGTGATGTCCTAGTGGGGGATGAAGAGGCCATGGGGCACTCAGTGCTATGACCTTGAGGGTTAAACCTGATAGTATGAAGGTCAGAACCTATGGCATCAATCTTTATATGTCCCAAAATAAGACCCAGGTGGAATACCCAAGGTAGAAGTGGTCCCAAGTACATCTGATCTGAAGAACTAAAGGATGGAGTAGATCAAGTAGGAGGATGCTATCACTGATGAGCTCAGGAGATGTTTAGAGCTAATAATCTAAGAGGGAGACTGAGAAGAAGGATTGAGATATTTTAGAAATATCTGGGAAGCTGAATCAATGAAATTTCCTGGTCTTTGTTCACCGGTGCTCTCTAGGGATTATATGAAGGTGGGAAGATATAAATCATTATAACATTAACAAGCAAGTTTTAAGCATGGTTTTGCCTCATGGTTATAAGATAGTCATTGGTGTTCCAATCATCACATCTTCAGACAAGAAGGGGAACCTGGCAAAAAAAGTAGATGCACCTTCTAAAAGTTTGTAGAAATGTCTCTACAAACATGAATTCATTTGATATTTGACAATGTTCTGAGACAGGAAAGGGAAAAAAAAAAAAGGATCACAGACATTAGGAGACACGATCAAGGTCACACAGCCAATAAAGAATGGAATCAAGACTTGAATACTAGGGAATCTTCCTGCTCTCCCGACTCCAACTAAACTGGCCCTGGGCTGTGGAAGATGGAGTAACCACTCTGCCCTCTGGCCACACACTGGCTAGAGTCTCCCTTTCCCTGTTCACCTCCCATACACAGGATACTCTGGTCATCGTGACTGAGGACACAGCCTCTGTCTTCATGAAGTTTCAGTTCCAGCAGGGAGATAAGGCAGGACTATTCTCCCCAGACTGCAGATGTCAGGGAGGGTGGTTCTGCAGAAACTCACTTGAAGGAGAAGTTTGGGAACTGGCTTTTTTTTTTTTTTTTTGGTATTGAGAATTGAACCCAGGGGAGTTCTCTCACTGAACCACATCCCCAGTCCATTTTATATTTTATTTTGAGACAGGGTCTCACTAAGTTGCTGAGGGTCTTGCTAAATGCTGAGGTTAGCTTTGAACTTGTGATCTTCCTGCCTCAACCTTCTGAATTGCTGGGATACCCAGCTAAGAAGTTAGAGATGGAAAGGAGAGAGGACTGAGAGGTGAGGAGCAGAGCCTCAGGAGACAGAGGATGGGTTGGGCTCCATCATGTCCACTTGATGGAGGGGAATCTCCCCAAGGATCCAAAGTGGAGACAGGAGAGGAGGGTAGGTTGGGGACACAGAGGAGGAAGCAGAGGGCTGGCAAGGCGAGTAGAAGGATGGTGAGTCAATTCTGCCCTGGTGAGAACCAGCAAATGTCCCTCCCAGCCCTTCCCACTGTCCCCTCAGAAGACAGTGCAGAGCCCTAGGACAGGCAGAGTGGGGGATGGGGAAGCAAGCCAAGTACCTTTTCCAGCACTTCCCCTGGGTACAAGGGAAAGGGGTCCTGGGCCAACCGGATCTCTTGGTCAGCGTGGCGAAGCCGTACTTGCCCTGTGACATCGAACAGCACGGAGCCCTGGGCATCCCGGGACACAGGGTTGGTCACTGTGCAGTAGTGGCGTGGGGGGACTGTTACCATGCGCACGGGGGCAAACAGCACCCTGTTAGAAGGCGAGAAGGGGTGTGAAGACTCAGGTCCCCGTTCCCAGAGGAGACAGCAAACAGGAGAAAGCTCCCTGCCACCCAAGTTTGTGAACAGGGCAGAGACCAATGCGCCCTTCTTGGCCCTGAGGGCCCCACACCAACCTCTCATTATCCTGCCGGATGTAGGTCTTTGGCCCGATCTCCACCCGAGACACGTTGCTGTTCTGGTCCAGTACATGGATGTAGTGGTATGGGGGGATGCGGATGATGGACTCTTCAGTTGCCATGGTGACTCCTAAGCACAGGGCTATGACAGACAGATGGGAAGAAGACACAGGATAAGCACAGGGGACCTGGGATGAGGCAGGCCCCAGTCTAAAGATGGCCTATGGGTGGCCCTTCATTTTTCAGCTCAAATGACGTCTCCCATTTCCTGTCCCCACTCCCACGTTCCCTTTGTTTTTCCCACCCAGGACACCAGAGCCCATCCACAAAAGGTTAGATCAAAAGGTTCCCCTCTAGGTGCACAGAGTTAGAGCTACCTCCAGCTGGAAGTGTAGATCCGTCTATGGGGACAGCGATGTAGCCTCTCCCAGCACACAGTGGGAAGCAGCCACTCTGCAGGGCGCTCTGGCTCCTCCAGAGGCAGGCAGCTTTTGTTTCAGGGGATCCCAAAGGCCAGGCAATATAAAGTGTTAGCCCGCGGCCAAAGAATATCTGCATGATCTTTTTCTGCCCCCTCCCCTTCCTTGAGCATTATGCAATCCTGGGGTGAACAGGTGAGACGTGATCCACCAGGGAAGGGATCCCTGACTGAATTGATGCTCCCATAGAATTACCCAGATTGGTAACAGCCAGTCATTCTAGTGTTTGCCTCTAGTTCCCTTTCTGGTCTGTTGTCACCCTGTTGTTATGGGATTGGGGAAGGGAAAAGGGGGCAAATAATTTTTGTATTCCACCCACCCCAGGCTACCTGCCTCCATATCTGGGTAGTTTCATCCAGAGGCTGGCCTGTTCAGGAACATCACACACATGACCTAATGCCCATCCCTACATCCGGCATCCCTTGGACTCTGGACATGTTTTTATGAGTCAGCAAAGGAAATCAAGTTTACTATGCAACTCTAAGCCTTGTCCTTAGATTACAGTCAGATTTTTTTCCTTCTTCTGTTTGCTTTTTTTTTGGGGGGGGGGATATTGGGGGGTAGGTAATAGACGTGAGCCTTGGGAACATGAGGTTTAGGGGATAATTCTATAAACTGGGTCTATCATGCTAACCCCACATGCTTTCTTTCAAAAAGTAAACTACCCACCTAGCTTAAGAGATGCTACATTCCTCACGAAATACCTGTGATCTGCAGGAAGAATGCTGAACACAGTTACCCTGGGGAAGGGGCACTTTTGTGACCCTTACACAGACCAGATCCCTGAACTCAGGGAGATAAGGATAATTCCCCCTAACTAGTTCCAATTACAACCGGTCAGTGTGGGCATAGCTCACTCAAAGTTGCCTCTAGATCTTTAGCAGGTCATTAAAATGTAAAATCTCCCCTCTAAGGGTAAGACCATACAAAGTATGGACATCTGGTGCAATCCTGCCTTCCCTGGGGCCCCCATTAAAATTGGTGGGCGGCAGGGGTATGTCATTGTCCTGAGAGGACCCCCACTCTCTTGAGAGCATGCCCCCTTTTACCTTTTCCTATCCCTTCTAATAAGCTCCTGCTTGTTACTCTGAGCAACGTGTCTGAAATCATACATACAACAGGGCCCTGAATTCCACCCTGATATCACAGAGCAAAGACTCGCCATTCCTGAGATGATCCCAGGAATGGCGAGTCTTTGCTCTCATATCAGGGTCGAATCCAGGGCCCTGTTTGTAAGTACTCTACTGCTGAGCAGCACCCTCAGCCACCACATATTTCTGAAGTCACCACCAAAAGGAGTGGTTCTTCATTTATTCACTCAGGCAGTTTTCCATTTGGGGAACAATGAAAGTAAGATGGTTTTGAGTGGTTTCTCACAGGACAAATAGGCAGAAGCCCAGAAATTACAGAATCAAAACTGGAAGAGAGACCTGAGAGAACAGTTTTACTTGATTTTAGCTGGGCATGGTGGCACATGCCCATAATCCCAATAACTCAGGAGGCTGAGGCAGGCAGATTGCAGTTTGAGGCCAGCCTCAGCAGCACAGTGAGATACTATCTCAAAAAATAGAAAGGACTGGGGTGAAGACCACCCCTGGTTTCAATCCCCAGTATAAAACCAAAATAAGACAAAAGCCCCAAACCAAATCATGAACTTTTACAAGCTCTGAATTCCTGCTTTTCTTAATGCTTTTGAGACCAGCAACACAACATCCACATTTCCAGGTGGGAAAGTTGGCAAGAGCCAAGTAGCAAGTACACCCCTGTTCTTTCTTTTGGTGGTATTGGGAACTGAACCCAGGGTGCTCTACCACTAAGCTACATCCCCAGTTCCCAGTCTTTTGGGGTTTTTTTTGGAAATGCTAAGTCACTGAGGTTTTCTCTCTAATTTGTTGAGGCTGGCCTTGAACTTGTGATTCTCCTGCCTCAGCCTCCCCGAGTTCCTGGATTACAGACTTGCACCAGCATGATTGGCAAGCTGCACCCTTTCAATGAGACACAAACTTTTCTGCTCACCCCAGTCCCCGGCACTTCATATTATCTTATACCTGAGCAGCTGCATGCATATCAGCTCCCTGGCTCCTATTTACAATGCATTAACTCGGGCAAGGGTTGTGGCTCAGAGGTAGAGAGCTCGCCTAGCATGCGTGAGGCACTGGGTTCAATCCTCAGCACCACATACAAAAATAAAATAAAGATATTATGTCCACCTATAACTAAAAATAAATATTTTTTAAAAATCCTTTAACTCAGCATTATCAATAGAACTTTATACAATGATGGAAATATTCTAAATCTGCTGTCTTTAGACTAATCACATGTGACAACTGAATACTTGAAATGTGGCTAATTTTATCTGCTGGGTGTAGTAGTGCATGCCTGTAATCTCAAGGACTCTGGAGATTGAGGCAGGAGGATCCCAAGTTTGAGACCAGTCTCAGGAACTTAGGGAGACCCTAAGCAACTTAGTCAGATCCTGTCTCAAAAAATAAAAGGGGCTGAGGGTGTGGCTCAGTGGTAAAGCATGGGTCTGGCATGTATCAGAGCCCTGGTACTCCCCGGCCATTTTGTTTTTATACTGGGGTTTGAACCCAGGGGTGCTTAACCAATGAGCCACATCCCCAGCCCTTTTTATTTCATTTTTATTTTGAGACAGGGCTTTCCTTGCTAAGTTGCTGAGGCTGGTCTCCAACTTGTAATCCTGTGATTATAGGTGTGTGCCACCATGCCCAGCCCCTCAAATTTTTTAAAATATTAAATAGAAAAATGAGGCTAGCTGATCCTATAATGAACAGTATGGCTTTAAGCAGTTGAGACCCAGATAGAGTCAATGAGTCACTCAGGGCCACAAAACAAGTTAGTGATACTATCAGCATTAGATGGATTTCTGGTCCTTTCTTCCTCAAAAGGTGCAGTGGGACATGAATTCAGACTGCCTGGGGTTACAACTTGTTGCCTGCCTCATCCATTTCCTGCTGGTCTTATCTCCCATTTCTCCCAGCTGGTGGCTTTCCACATCACATGGTGGTTACCCTGCTACTTAATCTTTTCTTTTTTGGTACTGGAAATGTAACCCAGGGGCACTTTACCATTGAGCCCAAATCCCCAACCCATTTTTGCTTTTTATTTTGAGATGGAGTCTCACTAAGTTACTAAGGCTGGCCTCAAACTTGGGATCTTCCTGCCTCAGCCTCCCGAGCTGCTGGGATTACAGGCATGTGCCACTGTGCTGGGCTTCTCATTCTTTTATCTTGTAATTTTGTATGGAATATGACTTTGATACTTTCTCTGGCTCATTTTTACTTGATGTTAATTTCCCTAACTTGTAGGAAGGTGGTTTTTTCAACTTCAGGGCTCTCTTTCCTGTGTTTGGAGAACCAGGGGCTCCATTTTCAATCTCTTGGCCCTGTTCTCCAACGGGCTCTTATTCGAGCCTTCTTTGCTTTCTCTTGCTCGTTCTGCTAGGCTTTGTTTCCATTTTCTAGTTGTTCTACAACATGATCTGGGCCCTACCCTGGAAGGACTCCTTGCAGGAATCCACCAGCTAGCACTGCCTGGACCCTGGACCCTGGATGGTGGCTCTAATCCCTTATTCAATGGGTGACCTTATGTGAGTCCCTTTGACCTCCCTGAACCAGCTTCTTTGCCTACAAAAAGTGGACAGATAATAGCCTCTTATTTCAGCATCCTGAGATTAAGTTTATATACAAAGTGCTCAGAGCAGCTCCAGGTTCTTCTTAAGCACGGAGTATTTTGCTGTGGAGGGACAGTGACCAAGGCCCAATTTCCCTACCCAGCACCACAGGTCCCTTCTCCACCTGGCATTCTGGCCTAACCCACACTTGTTTGCTGACTAGGAAAGTGACAAGTCTTGTGTCACCCCAGCTGCAGGACTAGAGGCATAGCAAAGTAGGGGCTTCTGACAGCCAGGTGAAGCTTTCCCAGGGACTGCTTTGCCAGGATCTCTGCAGGGTGGAATCATGGCCAGGAAACCAGATGGGGCAAGAGGAAGTGCTCCGGCTGTAGGCACGGAGGTGCGGCAGGGTTCTGAGGCCCCACAGGGAAGATTTGAACTCTAGAAGGCCACATAGGCTGGAAGCAGGCTGTGGGAGCAGCCTCAATTGGCTCCTTATTGGGCCATCTCCCCCTCCCCGAGGGCTGAGGCCTCTTCACCATCTGCCACTCCAGCTGGGCCCAGTCAGGGGGGCCAGAGCCTCGCCCAGCTCAGTGACTCAGCGAGAGTCCTCCTCATAGCTGATCATGCTGGGCTCCTGCCTCACTGGGAGAACAAGCCTGGGCTTCAGTACCCTCAGGCCCCCATCTTATCCCTGACCACCTCACCTGCCCTAAAATTGCCTTTCACCTAGACTGCTTGCCAAATTCTCTCAGAGCAGGTCTTGACATTATACTATGCCTGCGATCACATTTGTGACAAGTCTCAGATTTAGACTTTTGTGGCTTACCAGATGACATGCACAACACGTTAGAGCATTTTATATCCAATATATCAGGGCCCTCAAAAGTTAATGGTAGGTTGGGCGCAATGGTGCATGCCTGTAATCCCAAAGGCTCAAGAACCTGAGGCAGGAGGATCATGAGTTCAGGGCCACCCTCAGCACCTTAGCAAGGCCCTAAGCAACTTAGCAAGAACTTAAGTCAAAATAAAAAAATTAAAAAGGGGTGAGGGAGCTGGGGTTGTGGCTCAACAGTAGAGCGCTTGCCTAGCACGAGTGAGGCCCTAGATTCAATCGTCAGCACCACATAAAAATAAATGAATAAAATAAAGTCATTGTGTCCAACTACAACTAAAAAATAAATATAAAAGGGGGGGAGGGCCTGGGGATATGGATCAGTGGTTAAGCACCCCCAGGTTCAATCCCTGATACAAAAAAAAAAAAAGGTCAATGGTGAAGGATGGTGTTGGCTTTTGGAAGGTCTAGATTTCAGGCCTGGCCCTACCTCCCCAGATCTACTCCCCCATCCATCTCCCTTCAGTCCCTTTGAGACCTGTCCCCTAGTTGGCTGGGTGTGGGGTATGGAGAACATGCTCAGCCTGGTCTGACCACAAGTGCCTCAAATGTCATGAGGTTTTCTGAAACAGCCAACATTCACCTGAAGTCTCAGAGACCACTGTTCCCCTAACACAACACAGATAATGGATGTCAGGATGGAGGGGCAGAGAACTAAACAGCCTGTCCTGTCTTCAGCTGAAGCTGGGTTCATCCTCTATTTTTAAAAGGGGCTCCTGGGCTGGGGAGTAGCTCAGTGGTAGAGCACTTGCCTAACATGTGCAAGGCCTAGGCTTGAATCCCCAGCACTGTGAAGACAAAATAAAACAGAGGGGCTCGTGATCCCAAGCTCCTATCTTTAAAATAATACCAGGCTTCAGCCAAAATTAAAGAGTCCTGAATCCCTACTTATCAGGGGCCTTCAGAATCACCTGGTAGATGCAGTAAATTGGAAACAGCAGATGCTAAAGTTGTGTATGTGGTGTGCAGTGAGCGAGTGGCAGAGCACCAACTAAAAGCTTAATAGTGATGCAGAATCTTGTCCCCATCCCCTAACTGTAGAATCAACCATCATTTTTACAAGATTCTCCGAGGATTTGGGCACACTGCAAAGTATGGGAAGAGCAGGTGAATAGCAGCCACACCCAACCCAGGCTGCACAGGAGAGGTACCTGGAGATCTTCTAAAGCCACCCATTTCTGGGCTGGGGAAGGGTCCAAGCACTGGTTCTAATATATAGTCAGGACTGAGGACGAGTGGGGAAAGTGTCAATCTGGCAGGTTCTGGCATCACCAGCACGATCTTGGGTCACCTACTAGCACCTGAGCCTTGCTCTGCTCAACTGTGAAGTGGGAATAAATGATGCTTCCTGAAGCTGCAAGCATTAATTAGAGAGAAGGAAGTCTGGAATGCATAGTAGAAGCTCAACAAACAGGTAGGAGCAAGAGTGAACCTGAGATCAAATCAGAATGCTCCTGGAGGGCAGGGAATTTCATTTATTCTCCTTCAGCCCTTCCCCTGTCCCAGCTCTAAGCAGCCCCTTTGTCCCCACTCCTGGGGTCTCTATCCAAGTAGGCCTGAAGTTGGAGGTGAGGATGGTCACCCCAGCTCTGGCACTCGATCTCCATCAACCTTAGGTTTAGAAAAGTGTGTGAAGTTCAGTTTAAACAGGAATTTTTTTTTTGGTCAATGGAGTTTGCCTTCATGATTCTGAGTTAAACATTCTATTTTATGAGTCACATGACTCCGAAATTGCAGAGAGCTTGTTTTTCATTTGGTGGTTTCCCGGTTTACCAAAACCATTTCCTGCTTTAGGGGACTATTAATGGGAATTGAAAATGTGTGGCTGAAGTCAAATCATTTTAAAATTTTTTGGTGGCAACGTCTTGGAAGCTTTTCTTCTTAAGAAAACCCTCCCTGAGATCTAACCCACTTTGGGGGAAGTGGAGTAGCTCAGTGGCCTCAAGAGGGGCAGAGCAGTTCTACCAGCCCCAAACCCTACTCCTTTGATCTCCTGGATGCTGCCAATAAAAGCCAATCACTGAAGATAAGGATTGTAATCTAGAAGTGACCCAGAAACCAGGATTCAGACTCTAAGCTAGATCAATATTTTCTTTTTTTGGGGGGTGGGGTGGGGATTGAACCCAGGTATGCTTAACCACTGACCAACATCCCAAACCCTTTTTTATTTTGAGACAATCTCACTAAGTTGCTGAGGCTGGCTTCAAACTTGCCATCCTCCTGCCTCAGCCTCCTGAGTCACTGGGATTATAAGGCTGCACCACCCTGTAATAAACAGCCTGTCCCGAACCCACCTTCAGCTGAAGACAATACTTCCTAAACACCCCCAATCATAGGACTTGGATGCAAAGGGGTCCTGTCTGTCACTCAAGCTGGCCTTGAGCTCCTAGGCTCAAATGATCCTCCTGTCTTAGTTTCCCAAGTAGCAGGAACTACAGGAACATGCCACCATGCCTGGTATCTGGCTGGGATACTTAATCCTGTTCATGCCGTTTCCCAGCATGAACCCACTGGGTCAAGGTTTCCAGGAGAGACTCACCAACTTGTATTTGAGAAAAGTACCCTCACATAATAGCTCTTAACTTCAATCCTGGTACAGGTTAGGTTTGCAGTAAGTTAAGTGCCTTTAATCAACTCATTTTTCCTTCCTAAGAACTTGGAAGTTATGGAACTTGCTCAGGATCACACAGCTCTCAAAGGCTGGAGTCAGAATTCCATCTGGGGCATTGTGACCAGAGGACTCTGGTTTTCCAGGCAGAAGCATGAAGATTTGAATCCTACATTGAGGACTTAAGAGCCTGGGTGCTTCCCAGGAAATAGTGCGAGTGGGGGTTCATAAGTGAGCATTTTCTTGAGTGCAGGCAGGATCAATGCCCACTTCTGCTCCTTCAGAACCCGAGAGAGCAACACCAAACAAGGAGGCCTGAGCACCCCGTTTCCTTAGAGCCCTGAGGTCGTCTCTAGGCTATCCACTCAAGGTTACAGAGAACTGTCCTAACCAAACAGCCCCACCCCAGGGCAGGCCAGGTGCTCTGTGTGCCAAAGGCTGTTCACAAGTGGGAGTTTCCAGGGAGAACCACCAGGCACACACCACAGGACATATCTTTCCCCCATATCCCAGGGGTTTCCCCCAAGCAGAGTACACAGGGGACATGTGTCAACTGCCACCACCACCCCCTCCTCTGCTCTAGAGTAACAGCTCCAAGATCCCCAGAATCACAGGCTGGTGGGTCCAACTGAGCTTTCTATTTTTCACTTCCTCCTCCTCAAGAGAAGAGAGCCTCTCTTACCAACTCCACCTTTTGGAAATCAAGCCCACCTTAAGATCACTCTGGGGCTGGGGATGTGGCTCAAGCGGTAGCGCGCTCGCCTGGCATGCGTGCGGCCCGGGTTCGAGCCTCAGGCCCTGGGTTCGATAGAGGTTTGATCCTCAGCACCACATACAAACAAGGATGTTGTGTCTGCCGAAAAACTAAAAGATAAATATTTAAAAAAAAAGATCACTCTGCCCATGATCTGTCCAGTGACTGGCCAAGGCTCACCTCTTGCACAGCCCTGCAAAGGCAGTAGGAAAGCCTAACATTTGGCAGAGTTAAGGAACCTTCAACGGGGACAAATCACATTCTAGGAACTTGAAGGGACAGGCCAGAACCCAGGTCCCTACAGGGTGAAGGATGAGGGCAGCCAAACCAGTCTAGCTCCAAGATAGAGTTCTGAATGGACCCTCATATTTGCATGTGTGTTGGGGTGGGGTGGTGAGGGTGGAAGAAACCCAGGCCCTTGTGCATGCTAGGCAAGTGCTCTACCCCAGAGGTACAGCCCCAGTCCCTACCTTTTAAGAGAGTGTGTATGTGGGGGGGGCGGGGCGGGGGGTGTCTCACTATGTTGCCTAGGCTGGCCCTGAACTCTGGGACCACAGCTACATACCACTGTGTCTAGTAAGGTCCCCATCTTACTTTGGGAGAGACTTCTTACTGAAGTCAGAGAGAGGCCTGAGATTTGAAGAGTGGGAGTGGTGGCCCTAATCTACCTATACTCCAAAACGCAGCAAACTCCAACAAACAAAACCAAGCAGCCTCCTTGCTCCTTTCTTCCCCGGGTTAAGGGAGGTCTTAGCTACCCCAGCAAAAGGCCCAAGAAAGCAGGACAGGGTCAAAGAGAGCCTTGGAAGAGACAGATACCCACCACTGGTTTGGGGGCCAGTGTGATGTACTCACATCTAGAAGCCAGGCTAGCAGCAGCACCCTCAGATCAGGAAACTCTCTCACAGTCCAGGGAGCACTTCCCGGCTGCAGAGGGTAGGGCAGGGCAGGGCTGGGCTGGGCTGGACGAGGGAGGTGGGGCAGGGGCGGGGCTTGGATGTTTAAAGGGCCCCTGCCAAGGGGCTCATTTTCTCCTTGGGGCTACTTTGGCTACAGCTGGTGGCACCATAGTTCATTCCACACAGGAATTTCTGCCTTAGAGCCAGCTGGCGGCACTGGAATGAGACTAGGAGGATCAGAAGGCCCGAGATAGGAAGGCAGATGGTGACTCAGTTCTCCTCTACCGCATGTGGCTTTCATTTTCCAATCTGGGTGAATAGGATTCTGCCTTTCTGCTCAAGTGTGGCCAACTGTTTGGGCTCTAGCTGCAGCCTCCTCGAGAGAAGGTAAGTTTGCATATTTTATTTTAGATTCAGAAAATTTCACCCAGGTCTCCAAATAGACATTCAACCCCATATAGCACTGAATAGCAACAATCTTGGGAATTTTTAAAGCTTAATTTTGGATATAGATGGTAGTGTATGGTTCTCTTTTGCAATTTTTTTTCAGGTGATTTAATGTAATTTAATATTACTTTAGGAACTTCAGAGCAAAGGAATTGGCTTAATGATCCTTGAAGGGATTTCTTCTGATGGTAGCTTTTATATTATCAAGTAAGATCCTATTTTAAGTTATGTGTGAGCAAGTTTTTCTAGTGTAGGAAAATTTTTTCTTTGACAAAACAAGATGTAAATGTATGAAATTTTGTGAATTGTATCTTAAACTTATATCATAATTTCAACACCCAAACCTGAAAATTATGACTAAAGGTTAAAATGCCTTAGGCATGAGGTTTCTGCTTAGAATAGCAGTTTTCCCTGCTCCTTCCAGACCTCAGCCAGGACTTAAGTTGAAATGCAAATGGAAGAAGCCTGAAAGCTCAGTAGGAGACTGATCTGAGGCTCAAAAAAAAAAAAAAAAAAAGGAGTAAAGGTGTCTTTTTACCTGAACTCAAACTAGACTAAATCAAGAAGTAAATTGTATGGTATTTACTAATTACTGGCCGGTCATTTTTTCTAGGAGTCTTGCTTTTTCTTAGATTGTGTATTTTTTTTTTTAACTCATGATTTGGATCCCACAGACCTAGGTTAATGTTTTTCTGATCAGTTCTATTTTTATTCAGCTGTGGAGTTTTTAAACATTGCAATGGAGATTTCACCTGAGTAAAGCTACAAGACCTTTACTATTGAGTTATGTGTGCACACTTGTGTTATGTGCGTATGCCCATATATCATGCACATGATATGAAAATTGGCAGATATATGAGGAACGCTCATAAAAAATAAAAAAAAATGGATCCAAATATCTTTGATTCATGTGATTTAAGTGGTTCAATTTAAATTGGGTAAACAGATGAAAATAATGACGTCTTTAAAATTAAGCTTACAAGTTTTTCTAGGTGTTCAAAGAAAACTAATAAAATGTTTGTCTATGAAATGTCTGATATGCTTTGGTTCTAGGACTTTTTTTAAACAAGGAAAAATGGCTAACACTGTTCAATACACTTATCTGAAGTTTTGATAAAATAAGTAGATTTGTCATGGAATTACTCATTTATGAGTACTTTTGTTAGATATATGATTGATTTACAAGGTTAAAATGCTAAATTTTAAATATACCATTGAGTACTCTGAACTCCTTGAATTGCATTGGGTAACATTATTGATGTTTTTGTAAGTTGGTAAATGAAAAAAAAAAAAAGCTTTAAAGTTTTTCATCACTGACACTTAGACGTTGTGTTTTCATGAAATGGTAAACAGATGTGATTCTAGATACAAGGGTTTATAGAAGATTTCTATATACAAAGGCCCAAAAGTTTCAACTGTTACAATTAAGATTAATGTAAGTAAAATCAAGTATTTCTTTTTATTAAAATGAAATAATCTGTCTAAATTCAGAAATTTACAAGGATAGTTTCAAAATGTGAAGAGAAAAGGAGGTTAACAGATGGAAAGGAGAAATTAGAAGGTTCTAGGTATGGAAATCATATTTAATAGAAGAAAAGCAAGTGTTCCTGGATAAGAAAGTCTTTATGTGATGAAGTAAATAAGAGAGTTTAAGTAAGTGATAAAGAAGGTCTGTGTAAGTTTGTTTTTACAATCAGTCATATGTTAAAAGGACAAAGATTTCTTAAAACATTAATAAAACACAATGTTATAGGTAAACTAAGTTTTGTTTCTTGTTCCTAGAGCAAATAATCTTAAAGAAATTAAACAGCTAGTTAAACAAGAACTGTTATTTTAGAGAATTGTGCTATATTATGTCTTTAAAAGCTAAACTTGGTTAATATAAAAACATCAATGTAATTGTGTGCTATTAATGTGTTCATATCTTCCAGGTGTACAAGTCTGTAAGGTAGAAGCTTTAAAAGAGCATTATATCAAGCTGGTGTGTGGGAGGCCATCCTCGCACGTGATTTTTTTTTTTTTTAAAGAAAGAATTTTAATATTTATTTTTTAGTTTTCGGCAGACACAATATCCTTGTTTGTATGTGGTGCTGAGGATCGAACCTGGGCTGCACGCATGCCAGGCGAGCATGCTACCGCTTGAGCCACATCCCCAGCCCCCTCGCACGTGATTTGAGTTACCTCCCTGGCTGGGCAAGAGGTGCTTAGACACATCCTTGTGTCCAGAGCTTTCCCCACCCTTCTCAGGTCCGAGGGCTTGTCCATGTGGAGGCGTGTCTGGCCACTAGCCCGAAGACCCAGTCGTCGCACCTGACCTTGGGACACTGCCCCCCTTAATCTTCATTGGATGGGATTTTCCCCAGAATTTCTTGTTCCCCAATAAAAGTCCACTCCCTGGCGTGTTCTCTCTCTCTCTCTCACTGGCCTCTTCAGTAAACCTCGCTACCACAGTAAGTAGCTGGAGGCTGGAGCTAGGAGAAGCCATCCTGGAGCTGGTTTAAAGGTAGTTAGAGTCTGTCTCTTTAATTTAAAACTCCCTAAGGATTTCTCACATATACTGAACCTTCATCTATGAAGCCTGTGCTGGCCGCGGGCTAAATTTGCCACCCAACATGGGGCATGTGAGTCAAATCCTCTAGGTTTAGTGGGGAAGCGCGCTATAGAAATTTAGTAAATTGTGAAAATTTTTAGGGTCATGGAGGTACCAGGCAGTTTTGTGGGCTAAGGTCGTTAAAAATTAATAATGGGAAATTCAGCTTCTACTGATAAGGACATGTATTTGACCATTTTAGAGACAATAATTAATCAGAAGGGAAAGCAGGTCAGAAGGACCCAGCTACTACATAAAGACTCTTGGTGAATTCTGTCCTTGGTTTTGTGACCAAGATTCACCGGGTTTACATACTTGGGACAAATTAGGAAGGAAATTACATAAAGTTTGTCTTTCTAATGAATTACCTGGTAATACTGAAAATATTCAAAAGGTTAGGACTGCATTAGAGATTTGCCTTTTTGATTACATGGGTCAAAGTCCTTGGCCCCCTGAAGATCTATTGAAAGGTATTCAGAGAGCCATTAAGTCTATGCAAATGGAAAAATTGCCTGAGGCTAAAGGAATCTCTCTTCCTTTACGAGGTTGAGAGCAAAATCAAATTCCATTCAGGTGGAAAACCTTGGTGCCAAGCCCAAGACGAAAAACTTAGCTTTACCTGACCAGACCATATTAGTCGGGAGGAGAACCATAGACAAGAAGCCTCCGGAGGGATAGATAATCCCTCTCGGAGAGAGGAAAATCAAGAGGAAACTCATAGCGAGGCAGAGAGTCCTCTTCCTCCTAGAGGCTTTGGAGGACAAAGTCAAGATGGCGACGGGGAAGAGCTCACAGGTGGGTCTCAGACTGAGGGAGAAAATCAGACAATGAAGTCCAGGAATTACCAGGAAATTTTAACAGATTATGCCTAACAGGACTTACTACGGCCATTCAAATTCGGCCGCTTCCTGTTAGGAGGACAAATTTTAACAGATATGCTGAACTGGCGATGACCTTTCTTACGCTATTACTGTTACCGCTGTTGACCGGTAACGAGAGTCCTTGCTTCCCCAATGTTGAAGAATAACACCAGAGAAGCATGCTGAGGCAAGGTCAGAGTAGAAATTAGAAGTTTATTAAAGGACAGCAGA